TCAGAATCTCCTTGAGGGAGAACGTGATACTTGTATATAGATCTATATTGGTTTGACACCCACACCTTGCTGCTAGCTACAGTGACCTGCAGGTCTACGGGTGACAAATGTCATTTCATTTTCGCGACGCCTGAGAAACGTTGTGGCAGTTCACATAGTCACAGTATGATATAGCGACTCATTAGGGAGACAACAATTCATAAAGTTTACGGGGTTGCATAAAACCAAAGTAGGTTTTAGGTTGATAAAATAAATTTACTTTCCAATTCATTTTAAACTCACAACATTCCTACTAAGAAACGATGACTTTTCATACATTCTAGTCTTTGGTTGTAAGGCTACATTTTTCGGATTTCAAGGAAAATATCGGATTTTTCTGAAACAACGCGACATTTACATGTGAAAGACTTCTAATAAGATTATTAATAAAAGCTTATGAACTCACCAACCCTTGTGTTGACACTTTTCAAACAACTTGTATTCACAGGAAAGCATTAATCGTGTTACCAAGTGCTTTTGAGGATGGGACGTTGAGGCGTCAAACTTTTCATATTTTGACAACATATTGTAATTGATTTTGAAACATGTAATTCATGCAAGTGATGTAACTTTTCAATTATATATATGTTGGTTGTGTTTGCTTGAATTACTATTGAAATTGTGGTTATGATGCTATACATGAAGTCCTCCACCCCCGGACGTTTCCGCCATCCTTGGTTTGGGGGTGTGACAAAATTCTACCTTCATTATCTCATATTCTACAAGAATCAATTGATTTTAACAAAATCAATAACTTTAACTCTTACTTTTTGTTATGATTCTACAATCATCTCATATTCTGACAGAATCAATTGATTTTAACAGAATCAATTACTTTAACTCTTACTTTTTGATTTTAAAATTCTACCTTCATTATCTCATACTCCGACAGAATCAATTGATATTAACAGAATAATTATTTTAACTCTTACTTTTTGTTATGGTTCTACAATTATTTTTTCATATTCTACCTTCATGTGATCATATTATAACAGAATCAATATATACAGATTTTATCAATTGAAGATGCAACCATCAATCAAAAATTCCAAAAGCATTTTCACTCTATAATTTGGAATTCTAAGCTGGAACCACATGAATTCAAGAATGTGTGGCGTCAGATGTTAGAGGAGTTTAAAATTATTGATAACACTTGGATGAATACAATGTATGGTTTGCGAAAATCTTGGATCCCTACATTTTTCAAGCACATTCCAATGTCTGGTCTTATGCGAACTACATCGTTGTCTGAAAGTCAGAATTGGTCATTTCAAATCACCACATTAACCGGTTCTTATCTTGTCATGTTTATGATGACATTTGAATCAGTTATGGAACGACAACGACATAACCAAATTCTCAATGATTTTAATACTGCCACCACTTTTCCTAAATTCATTACCCGTACTCCGTTTGAACCTCATGCTTCATACGTATATACACGAAAGATTTTTTATCAGATTCAAAAAGAGATATCAAGAGCTGAAGATAATTGTTTCCAAAAGAATGTGATATCTTCCAACGGTGTTGACACAATTATTGTTCTGGAGAAAACAAAGAACATAACTATTAGGAAAACAAATGATGTCGATGTTGATGACAAAGATGAGGAATACAATTACGATTGTCTTTTAAGGGATACTGAATACACGGTATTTTTTTTTCACATTAATTGTCATTTTATATTTTGCATTTAAACACTAAAAATTTACAACTTAAAAATTCTTACTAATCATCTTATATTTTCCAGGTCACACACTCAACCAAAGATGGTTCGTTCAAATGTACTTGTATGCATTTTGAACATGTAGCTATCTTATGCAGACACATATTCTGTGTGTTTAAGTTTTATGGCATCGAACAATTCCTGAAAAGTACATTTTGAAATGTTGGCGTAGGGATGTTATTCCAACAAAATTACTAAAAAGACGCTTCACTAACTCTTTTGACGATTATAATTCCGACATGACTGCTATTAATATTTTTTCAACTGTTGACCGTTGTGTGTCTTTTTTGAGCCATGATGCAGCTAAGTTAAAGTTATACCTCGACGAGCATAATAAGTTGAAAAAAAAAATCGTAGACGACTGTCCAAATCATGATCTACCAACCAGTGCAGATCATTTCAAGAAGCTTTTAGGTGTGGTTGGTCTTGATGTAGAATATGATGTTAATGACATTCAGAATCCTACAGATATTCGTAACAAAGGCTGCGGTAGTCGTGGGAAAAGATTAAAATCTACAAAAGAGATGACTGAGAAGGAAAGCACGAAACCTAAGAGAAAATGTGCTACATGTGAACAGATGGTTCATCATGACAAAAGAAATTGTCCTCTAAAGAACGCCCATAAATAAGTTCATTGTTTTTTTATAGGTTTTATATCGTTCAATAAAGTATTCACTTTGATTGCTAGCGACGATGACATTGTCAATCAGCATAACAATATTTATCTTTTCTTATTACTTAAAAATAATCATAAAACGTAATACAAAAATTCATTCCATCGATTGTATAAATTCATTATTTTCAAAAATGTTAATACAAAAATTCCATCGATTGTATAAATTACAGCAATATATACAACTTCTTTCAATCATTTTAAGATTGATTTTAATCTTAACAAAAATGTTTTATTGTTTAGTGTAGTATACAAACGATATCTGCAATTTATATACAAGAATTCATTATATTATATTCTATTTCAAAATGACTATATATTACGTAAACATATTCATTCCAACAGAATTTTTTATATAAACATACACTTTTCATATACATCCAATTTACATACTAGTATTCTTTATAACATTTTTTTTTATCTTTTACGAATTATACGTTTACACACACATATTTAATTTCCAAAAGGGTACATCATACCAAAAATATACGTTTCTCATCTACATCCAATTAATAGATAATAAAAAACTATAACTTATTGTTATAGAATAATAACAATATAAGAGTACTATATATGCATCAAAAACTATAAAAAGAGCCCAACCAAAAAATTTATGAAGTCGATGAAATTGATTTTATATTTTCTAAAGGTAATCATTCCAAAAGAATTTTAGATTTTGGATTTTTATGTGTTATACACGTACAAACACATACTTACTTTTAAACAAGGTACAATCTACTTAAAAATATCTAATCGTCGTCTACATCCACTTAATATAAAATCAAATAACTATAACGTATTCTACCAGAATCATAACAAATACTACATAGCATCATCATCATATAAACTGTAAAAAACAGTCTAGTCACAAAACATTATTAACCACAACCTTGAATTATATATTAACAACATTATTACAAAAAAATACATCAACACATGCATTATTAACAACAACCTTGAAGTATATTTTAAAAAACTTCATAACCTCTGATAGACAAACACAACCTTTATATGAAAATTAATATTCCATTATATGAAAATTACATTACCAACAACAACCTTTGATTTTCACAATGCACAATATCATCATCCCAGAATTTAAACAAGGCATCAACACAGCTTTTATATGAAACTTAATATTCCATTATAAGATATAAGCTTAGATACTGATAACATTACTTCATAACTTCTGATAGACAAACTACTTTTTCAAACATCTAACATAATGCAGAGTCATGTATGAACACCCAAAAAAAAAAGTTCAGCTCATGACATATCAAAGTTTATCTTTCAACTTATTAAATACCACTCCAAATTCTTACCTACGACCCTTTGGTTTTCTTTTTTTATTCCTGTTTTCAGTTGACTCTCTTAGAAGCATATCTTGTTCCAAAATATCAAGCTTACGAAACGCTTCAAAATCTTTAACTATCATAGTCTTGAACTTATTGAACTCAGTTGTCAACAATCTTACCATGTATTTCGTCCTTAACTTAGTTGTAGCACTCACATCAGCAGGCATTTTACCTGTAAGACCACACTCCCAACGCCCTTCATTTTCCCCCATGTAACTTTCCATGTGCCTCATGAGGTATATTCCACATTCTGTTCCAGGTTTTTCGACTAGCCAAGATATGTTCATCACCCGTCTCGCTTTAAAAGTTAACATTTTTGCCATTGGATGATGTTGTGATGTCAAGTAGTTGCAAAACAGTTTTTTCTATCATTAAATACAACAAATACATCAAATATACTCTTATAATATTCCTTAGAATGGAAAAATATTGATCAGAAATTTATTGATTATCTTACCACCAGGTTTGGAATCATGCCATACTTTCTTTCCAAAGTTCCTGTTCTCTTCACATGATCTACTATGTAGTACAAACTTGATCTCAGATCAAAGATGAGTAAGTAATACTTTCCATCATCAACTATTGGGAAGAAAACCTTGTACACTTTAAAAGAAGAAGTTAAGTTAATATTAATTGATGGCACAAATCTTAAATTTATTAAATAAACTTACAAGTGCAACATCTCTAAAACTTTGCTTCACATCAAATTTCTTAGTGTAGATTCGCAATAAAGTAGCAAAAAGCCTACATTTCATATCTTCCGACTTTAGCTCATTCAATATATCTTCTGTCTGAAAAAAAAACACATCAACATCAATATTAATTCTACAAAAATATATTTGAATTAAAAATTAATTTACAAAATAAATTCATACCACAATAGTTGTATCGAAGAAAAATCTCGAAACTGATGATTAATCCTTGTAGTTCTCCATTTTATTTAAAAATGCAGGCCAACAATCAATTATTTTAGAATGCAAAAACATTCCATGATTGAATTGATATGCAAAACCCTGGTGCAGCAAATGACTTGTTCCAATGTCCCAAATCTCATCCATGTGACAAAAATTATGTATAAAATCAATCTGAATACATTCATTTTAAAATTATAGAAATATAATAGGTGACACATATATAAACATATATATAAATACGGACCCATCATCTCTTTTAGATGCAAAAACTGAATTGCATATCCTTGTTTCATCCTTAGTCAGCTTTTCCCCAACCTTAACAATTCTTTCAATATAGGGTGAATGAAATATTTTTGCCTTTTTAGGAATACGTTTTTCCCTTTTGTCATTATCATCATATCTTGCAGCATTATCAACAGCTTCTCCTATATTTCTTCCTACCAGATTATCCCCACTGATTACTGGCATTCGCTTTTTCCTTCTATACACCTGTAACTCAGTTTCATCCAACAACTTAATCATTTCCTCATTCACCCCTGGAAATCGATGAAACTGAGTCATTGTTAAAGAAGTTGTATCAACAGGTGTAGTATAATTGACTTCTTTTTCTGTATTAACTTCAGTAATTATCAATCCTCGAACGGGTGAACTATTTCCTTCACCGTCATCACCTATATCATTCATATTTACCTCATTAAAGCAGTCAGGCTCATGCACTTTTTTATTACCTGCCCCTTCAAACACTTCCTTGAAAAGTTCATTCGTTTTCTCCATCCACTCATTCAGGACCACACTATGAGGGAATTTTTCCAAACCATCCTTCAACGCAACCTCCATAGTACTTTTCTCTGTTAGAATTACCGCATAACTATGCTCTATAACAGCAGCGTATGCCTGCAATACATATAATTAATTTATAATAACATTACAAGAATATGTACTATATATTCTATAAGAATATATAATTAAATATTAGTTTTAGAATACGTAATTTATATTCTACCATAATATTACCTCCTCATCTCCAAAATCCCTCTTAAAGCTTAACATTTGTTGTTCTTCACCTCATGTTTCATCGCCCATATCGACATCATCATGCTCATCCCGAAACAGCCTCCCGAACCCTCCCAAACTGATTTCCAATCGTTGAATCTCTAATAATTTAGCACAATTTATATGCCCAATAAAAGGAAGCCTTTTGTCTAACTTGATAGAATACTTTATGTCATACACGTACACCAACTGAAAACAAAACATTAACTTAATCAACACATCAATAATAAATCGATACCAAATATATATTTTCATATAAAACTATTTCAAACTTACAATCAGAAGTGTAATAGGACCACTGTAGTAGCTTGATTTGTCATCCCTTTTCCATAGTTTTTTTCTAGATCCCAAACAATCAAGCATATATTTACACCAATTTAACTTTGAAAAGTATTCTACCAACACCAACTTCCTTACCACTTTTATTTGATTTGTTCCCATTAACATTGACTCTATGAAGTTGTTAACAAAAAGGGTCAAAAAATTCAGCCTAAACATCAAACTATCATTTGTTGTAGCCTGAATCCTTCTTAAATACTCCTCACAGTTGAACTTATCACAACTATATTGTCCCCTCCATTCTTCTAGAATTTGATTTCCCTTATCACACAATGGTAACTCATTGATGTCTTCTCCACCAAATGGCAACCCCATCATATCATGCACTGTTTGTTCTGTTATCTCAATAACAGAGTTTTGTAGGACAAGTCGTTTACTATTGGGATCATACACATCTAAAAGATAGTATCTTAGTTGTCCCGGATAACTTGTAATATTAACTTGCAGAATTGATCCAAAACCCATTCTCAAGATTGCTTGTTTTTGTTCTGGCGACATTCCCATAACAGCTGCAGTGAAGTTATCACATTTCATTCTGGTTGGAAGGTATCTTAAACCAGGTGGGTATTCCTTATTTGTTTTTCTAACATTATCTTCTTGTTCCTCTTTGACAGATTCAGCAATGCCCTTATCTTTTTTAAATGTTTTACAATTGGAACTCTATCAAATTGCCTCTTCAACCTTATCTCTCTTTCCAAAAGTAGTGCATTTAAAGGTTTATGACTTGTCTTTCGTTCAACTGCTTTATCAAGTTTTTTCTTTGACCTTCTTTCTCGGTTCACATGTTCTTCTTCCTGAATTTGTTCTGAAACAACACACAATAGATAGTATAATGTTTAGTATTAGTTATTTGGTATTAACGTTTTATAATATAAGATATTCCTTATATTATAACAGATTAAAAATTTATTTCTATAACAAAACCATCATACACGCAAAATTCCGATTCAAACAGAATAAAAAATAAACATCACACAAATATATTATAATATAATAAATTCTAACATAATATAAAATTACACTACAAAAACATCATAAATTTTATTTTGAAACATAACCCACTCCATATTGAAATACTTATTTTCGTACATATTACAGTATTCAACTAAATTATTCTACAAGAATCAAATACTTTTAATTTAGAATTATACCAGAATCATATAATCGATATTCACTCATATGCAACATTACATTCTTTTAGAATATTACACATGTAAGCTTTTTCAATATATAAGATTTTGATTGTTTCAGTTTAATTCATTAATCATCTACAAACTTTGATTCAATTAAAATTTAACATTTTTATGCTATGCTAATTATCTACTTACACGGATAAATTTTCATTACAGATTTAACTAATAAAACAAGTAGGCTAATTCTACAAGAATCAAATACATTTAATTTAGAATTCTATCAGATTCATACAATCGAATTTCACACTCATATATAATATTACATTCTATTAAAATATGAAACATGTAAACTTATTCCACATACAAGAACTATGATTTTTTCAGTTTAAGTCATTAATCATCTACAAACTGTGATTCCATTAGAATTAAAAATCTGTATAAAATGCTAATTAACTACTTAAATATAGAAATTCAGCTTACAATGTTAACTAGTAAAACAAGTAGACTTATTCTAGCAGAATATCAAACATGTTCAGGTTCATATACACAAAACATTCTATAAGAATATGAAACATGTAAACTTATTCCACATACAAGAACTACGATTTTTTGAGTTTAAGTCATTAATCATCTACAAACTGTGATTCCATTAGAATTTAAAATCTGTATAAACTGCTAATTAACTACTTAATTATAGAAATTTAGTTTACAATTTTAACTAGTAAAACAATTAGACTTATTCTAGCAAAATAACAAATACATGAAACACACACAGAACATTCTATTAGAATATGAAACATGTAAACTTATTCCACATACAAGAACTATGATTTTTTCAGTTTAAGTCATTAATTATATACAAACTGTGATTCCATTAGAATTTAAAACCTGTATAAAATGCTAACTAACTACTTAAATAAAGTAATTTAGTTTACAATTTTAACCAGTAAAACAAGTAGAGTTATTCTAGCATAATAACAACCATGGTCAGGTTCATATAAACAGAACATTCTAGCAGAATAACATACACAATAATTTCATTGTACCATAATTTTCAAAATTCAACGCATACTTTACTTAACAGTAATGATTCTTAAGAAAATACCAAAACATGACACATTTTTCTTCCAGACCACAAATCATACATGCATAAATGATTTCAAATACACTTCCTAAACTCTACTACATTTTTCGAACTAAATAAACATTAAATACCACAAAAAAATTGTTACCTTCAGGTTCAACAACGAAATCATCATTGTCATCTTCAAGATTCAACACTGTTTCTACTGTGTTCTTGAATTTTGACTTGAATGAATTGGATTGTGTACTCCTCATTGTTGCAAAATACCGTTAATATAAGCCCCCAAATGTCGATTCCTTCTTCTAGGGTTAAATGTCGATATTTATAAGAAAAACCTTCAAAGGATCTTTCGATTTTGAAGACTGATTATAATAAATCAGAATGTTTTTCAACCTCCTAAGGATTTGGGTTCTTGATTTTGTGAGTATGCGAGATATTTGGGATCATCGGTTGATCACTTCCATAGTCATCCACTGTTCCCTAATTAAATGATGGGGCAAAATACCATTCTACCATTGATTGATCGGTCAATTGATTAAAGCCCATTTATTTGATTTATTTCTATTTAATTTAAAAACAAAATCACTTTCTTAAATTACCACAAATGATTGGCCTAGAATCATTTACATGGGCACACAATACTTAACAAAAACAAAATAACCTAACCCTATATATATATATATATATATATATATATATATATATATATTATATATATATATATATATATAATTTATGATGTTTGAAAATCTTTCTCTTTCATCTACTACATAGTAATTTCGTGAGTTTGATTCATTGAGTGATTCACATTTTTATTACATTAAGCAGTATCGATCCGTTTGAAAATCTTTCTCTTTCATCTACTACATAGTAATTTTGTGAGTTCGATTCATTGAGTGATTGACATTTTTATTACATTGAGCAATATCGATTTGTTGAGGTCCTAAAATACATACATACATATATATATATATATATATATATATATATATATATATATATATATATATATAACTACCCGAAACTTCTAACCATGTAATTGATCCGTGTTTCAGCACTAAAGCTTGAGTTCATTATCTTTTGTTACATCTTGTGGTTCCATATGGGTGCTCTAGACTTAGTATAACCTGGATATAAGTCCTAGGAAGGGTTGGAAAGTGCTTTAGTATCACAAATTCGGGCCAAACACACCAAATAAGGTGTGTGCGGCCACACACCTATGTGTACGGCCGCACACCCAACCGCACTCACCCTCAACCTCACAATCAATCCCTTATATGGATGGATACCCCTTCATTCATTCATTTGGATGTTTCTCTTCCCTCTCTCTACTTTCTCTCTCTAAAATCATCAGCCAAGAACACTTGGAAGACTTCATAATTGTGATCTACTCCATCTTCAAGCTAATTATAGTGGTAAACACTTGAATCCCAAGCTTAAAACTCATCATGTTCATCATCTCTTGAAGGTGTACGGCCGCACACCTTCTTATGGGGGCAGCATACATTCAAATCTCCCAAGTGTGAAGAGCAAACACTTCAAAATCGTCATATGGACTCAAATGAGGAATGTACGGCCGCACACTCCTGTGTACGGCCGCACACACCCTCTGTACGGCCGCACACTCTTGTGTGCTACCTCACACACACTCCTGGCCGTACTCCCCAACCGCACACTCATTTTCAAGACCATACACCCACTCTAATGCCCATATTTGGCCCTAAACTTGCATAAATCATTAAGTCTGGATCATAAGACACTTATTCTTAGTAATTCCAAGCCCTAAGGATGTTTTCCCATCATGTTTAGTCATGAAACACCTTAGTTCTAACTCATTTATGTGTCGTCACATGAATAATAGGGGCCATAGGCGTTCAGGGCATCCGTTGACACTCGAACCCTACATTAAGCTGTGAGTTCATACGCCTACTCTTTTCAATGTTTTTCACTGTTTTCAGGCGGGGGAATACAAGCAAAGTACAAGGAATATTTGTACTTTAAACTTGTTTTTACATGTGTTGCGTTCCATAATTCACATGATTTTAACACTGATAATCATAACAGATAACATTTTGAACTCGCAGAACACATTATTGTATTATTTGTGAAAAACATTATAAAATGTTGTATTTTATATTTTTCACAAATGGTTTTCTACATTATATCAGTTAAAAGCATAACATTTGAACTTGAAACATGAAACCTAGTACATTGTTTTGTCCTCGGCAACACTCCTCAGAGATACGCGAGTGGAGGATCATCGTTTGCATCAGTACCTTTCTATATTATTACTAGTAAATTTGTTATTCCTAGTAAATTTGTTATTCCTATAAATTGGAGACAAGTCCTCGGTAACACTCCACAGAGCTATGCGAGTGGAGGACCGCCCCCGTAATCAGAATCTCCTGGAGGGAGAACATGACTTGAGTGTATAGATCTATACGGGGCTGACTACCCCACACCTGGCTGCTAGCTACAGCCGAACTGAAAGTTTCAAGGGTGACGAAAGTCATAAGGTGATGTGGACTACTTATTGCCATATCTAGTCTATCGTATGGTTATGGAACTCGCAATTTGGATAACACACATTTACTAAATGGTAATAATGAACAAGTAACTATTTTTACTTTACATACATTAGTTTTATATACGTGTTAAAACAAATACCGCTCATAAGAACAACTAGGTTTTCAGTATACATCTTTCACATTAGTAACCAACATTTAGGAAAATATGGGATTTTCCTGGGGTAATACTCGTACATAACTAGATTCGTATAACAGATTTAGACAACTAAACTTTACAATTTACAAGGGTAAACTGGTTTCAGTATACATCTTTTACTTTACACTTTGGATTTGATAACCAACTTTTAAGAAAATATAGGATTTTCTTGGTGTGTAACTTTTTCAGAAACAGAAACAAAAAGGAACTTGTATATTTTCAGAAAACAAAACCGCTTATGAACTCACCAGCGTTATGCTGATTTTCAACTGCTTGTATTCTCAGGTCCGCATTAGATAGGTACCCGATGACTCCTTTTTGGCAAAGACGGAGTGCGTTGAAGACTCGTCTTACTTTTGTTCATATATACTATGTATCACTTGTATAACTTTACTTTTCAAACAAATGTAAACCATTAAATATGTAATGTAATGGTTGTTTTACTTTACTTACTATGTACATTGGATTTGATACACAACGTGGAGTCAACCCCGGAAATGTTTCCGCCTTCGATTTCGGGGTGTGATAGATTGGTATCAGAGCCCTTGTTTATAGTGAATAAAGTATACCAAATCTTACATGGTATAAAACTATAAACACTAAGGGGCCTAAGTGCTCTAAACTAAAAGTATACTTCAAAGTATAAGTATTTTCAAAAGTATACAAGTATACCTAATCGTCGAGATCCGTAACTACAACTAGAACAAAACATAAGTAAATGGGTGTTGTACACTGTGGTTAAACCTGGGCAGTTATGTAGTCGTGTCTAGGATCAATATAGCCTAGCTAACTATATTCATTCGAGAGACGACCAACATGTGCTTAGGAGTGACTGTGGTGTGCGGCATGCCTAAAACTCACCCTAATATCCCAAACATCGAACCTTAGTCATAGCGAATCATGAAATACTATGGGAGTATTTCTTGAGCCAATCCTTTGTAGAAATCCCCAATCGAGCGTTGTTTCCTGATCATTCCTCTAGCGATAAAATTATATGTTTTGCTGACTCCTTCCTATTTTATCGCTTATTCGAAATATATATCTTTCATATCTCTCGATTCAATTTGGAGGACTTATCATCATCTCTTTCCTGATCTTATTAGATCAAGATGCCACCAAGAAAGAGACCCAACTCAAAGACCAACAACCCTCCGCCACCACCTTCTCCTCAAATTGACCTTGCAACGCTTCAAACAGCTATTACTGCCACAGTGACAGCTGCCGTGTCACAAATGAACCCCAGAAATTCAGGAGGTGGTCCCTAACCCCAAAACCTCGAAAATAGTCAAGGACACCAAAAATGGGGTTCTTATAAAGACTTCATGAGCGCAAAACCCACTTCCTTTGATGGCAAGCCTGTTGATTTTACTATTGCTGACTTTCCCTTGATGAATCTAACTGATCTCATTCAAGTGGTTCTGGTCCTGAAAGAAATGGAAGAAAACAAATTCAACGGATATGATACAAATGTGTTCAAATTTGGTTTTTCACATATCAAGATATTCATAGATAACTACTATGATTGTTCGGCGTTAACTGATGAAGAAATCTCATAAGTTCGTGGAAGACAAGTCATAGTTCCTTGGGAATCTACTCTGCCTCAAACAGAATTGAAGAAATATGCAGATGGAGAAATATGCCTTAAACCTTTTGGTATGGTTTTTGCAGGAAAAGATACCAAGGGGAAGCCTAAAAGATTTTTGTTTCAAGCCTCGGAGATTTAAAGATACACAACTTCGCAATATACGAATTTCATTGTTCGTATGAATAATTGTTCAAAGAATAATGAAGGAGACATGAAGGAGCTTAAAAAGATCATCACTTGGTATTCAGAAATTAGAAGAACGATGCACTCAACTGTTCAGAATTTAACAAACTGAATATATTCCACTGTTTACAAAGGGGGAGAATGTAGAGTCTAGTTTTTGTAAAAGTCGAAGTGTTTGTTTTGAGTTTCGCATGTTAGTTATTTTACTAAGTCTTCATTTGTGTGAAGCTTATTGTTCAGGACTTAGTATATTTTTTTGTACACTCATGTTTCCTATAAATAGGGATTGAGGTTATAGTAGAGATAAGTTTTTCTCTGCTTAGTTTGTAATCAGTTTCTTCATCAATATAAGATCTGATTAATATTTACTCCTTGTGTTCATACTTTTCATTCATATAATCATGATTGCTTTCTAAATCTCGATTACAATTCTCATCACAAGTTCATTGTTCCATCCTAATCATTTTAGAGATGTAATACATAATTTTCGGCATTATATAGGGAAGGTTAGATTAAAAGACAACTAAAGTCTAGATATTACTATTTTCGGGGATGTGGTCCTCAAGAAGACTTTGAGTACAAATTAGACTTTGAAGAATCTCAATTTTATGCCAGAATTTAAGAGGATGCTAATATTAGTGGGGCATTTTGATGATGAAGTTCACCAAGTTACATTTGGTGATCATTAGTGGAAACTTGCAAAGGGAAACTTAGTAGTTGTTAATGGTTAAAAGCGGTGTACACTCTACATGATGGAGGTTT